GGAAATATAACTGTCATGTACAGAGTGAATGAAGGAATTGTGAAAACTGAATCTAAATAAATGCCATCCATGTGATTTATGTGCATCAGTAAAGGTTGAAAGAATGTACTGAAGTATATATATAACATGCACATGTTGGTTGAATTTTGAAATACATTAGTTCCAGTGTTAGCCGTAATTTTTTAGGTTGACATTTAATTGTTTTTAATTTTTGATTGAATTATGTTGGTTTATAAATAATAGATGAAGTACAACCTGTGATCTCGCGTATTTCTTTTACGAATTTGGCTTCTTATAAAGACAAAGTAAATGTCACCATTGTTATAGAGGGCGCTATATATTCACATGCGTCACTCTGTCATAGCTCCAGCCATATGCTTGGTATTTCTCGGTCGTATTCATTGTCGGCGTTGCGCGGAATTGCTCTATTGTTAAGGATCCGTAGAAAACGGTGAGTTAATAATTATGAAAGTTATGTGTATTTGCTTGTTATTTGAGTCTTTATCCTGCGTTACTGAAAGTGATTATGAAAGGTGTGCGACCACGCTTTCAAAATGGCGACTGCGAATGAAACAAAAACACGTGTTTGTCAAAATGCGTGTTCATGTACGTAGATGGTTATTTGTAAGATAAATTGTCTCTTGCGTTTAATCAACTTTCGTAAAGCCTTCGACGTTCTCTATTATTATAATGCTATTGAATATTCTTTGAGTTGTGTCGATATTTACGATTATGGAAGTCAACAACCAAATATGATGTTGGAATTGCTGCTGTTTTAGCATCTCGGAATGGCCTACGCTAGGCAGTTGTTATTAGTTTGTACAACGAATTTTATTTTAAAGTTAAAATGTCGTATATATTATCCAAAAGTTTGACATTTTCATTTATAATTGCGTTATTGACAAACATTTAAAATACTGTATGAGAATATCGTTAACAGACTCAATCACTCATGGTATTTTCCGATTAATTACTTTCACCTCAACATCATAATTTACAGATTCCATGGGATGGCCCACTCGTATGCAACATGAATAAAACATTTCATCCCTTTGACTGCCACATTGCTTTATTTGTTATTGGTTTTAGGTTTTGATAAGCATTTTGGTGAATCAAAAATTGTGGGTTCCACTTTCATTTCAGCCACGGTTACTAAAAAAGACTGTTAAGAAACGCCATTGTTAAAAGTTGTGAATTTGCCTAATCCCTCAAGGATTTGCGTCGCTGTGTCTCTATTGCTTGAGATTTCAAGGCCCACCATTTTTTTCATTTTTGTGTCGATGTCCCGCGAATTTGAAATTTTAAGCTCGTTTTCGATAGAATATCCACGTTTAGTGCACAAGCTCTACGAACTACACGTACATTTCGGATGAGTACTCTTTGTGACTGATAACATTCAGAATCGAGAATCGTCATTTATCGTTTTTACTGTTGTCCTGAAAGTAAGCTTGGGTCCCGGAAGAAAAAGTGACGAAAATTCTAACCCCTATTTGGTAATATGGCTAGTAATTCATCTCTCCCAGGGGATTTTTACAATACTCTGGAAACTGCCTTAGACATAGTTTTCGAGATTTCATCGTACAATATTATGGTTATCAAAGGCTTTGGTATTGCAGTATTTACAAATATGTCGCGTTTCTATGTATTTGATCCTCATAGCAGGAATAATGAAGGACTATTGCATTCTGATGGACATGCAGTACTTGTTGGACTTGATAACAAAAATGACCTTTGTGCTTATTTGAGAGAGTTAACATTAACATTAACAGAAAATACACTTGATATGGTACAATTTGGAATTGCACCAGTAACATTTATTCCAGGCGAGCAAGATAATTTAATGGTACATGAACTTGATGTAATGCAGGTTGATGGTAGTTTTTTAACAAGTATAGAACAGTTGCATGGAAAGTATTGCAGAAAACAGTTGGATGACAGTGGATCCAAAAAACTTTCGAAGAGGGAAAAACAAAAATTACATAAAGAGAGGGACAGAATAAGAAAGAAACTGTTTTCCACAAAACAGACTTCATGTGCTGCACAAAAGCATGCAACAAACCACACTAACACCGATTGTTTCATTATTTGTGAAAAACAAGAATATTCAATTTTCAATCCAGTTGATCAGTCATGG